GGCTCTGATCACCACAGGGCGATTTGGAAGTATCTTGTGGTGAATTTCCCTGGACCCAGAAAATTCTGCCCTGTTCTTAATAAATTAGGCAGCTGGACTTAAAAAAAATGTCAACAGAGACTTTCTTGCCAAGTCTCATGTTTCTATATTTGACTAAAGTCAGACAAGTTTGAGCAACCAAATGAGGTCTCTAAGCTTAGGCAGAATAAGTGCAGTCATTTTTCTCTGTGTATGTTGCTCTGAGCCAGATCCTGGAGCCAGACTGCCTGGGGTTGAAGCCTGGCTCTTCTCTTTCCTACCTGGGTCACCTTGGGCCATTGTGCCTCCACTTCCCTTTGGTAAAACAGTACCTGTATCAAAGGTTTTGTTGTGAAGAGTTAAAGAAATAAGCAAATGTGAAGCATTCAGAACGGTGCCTGGCACGTAGTAAGCTCTCAGTAGATGTCAGCTGTTGTTATTAATATTACAGAGGTAAAGGGATAAATTCTGTGCTATGGAACATGTCCTAGGTTCAGTCTGCAGTAGCTGAGCAGTGCTAGTAAAGGTCTGTCATTCATTTGACATTTATTCTGCAAATATTTATTCATCTCCTACCATGCCAGGTACTGTTTAAGTTCTGAGGACACAGCAGTGAACCAGAGAGTCAAAAATCACTGCCCAGGGAATGAGTATTGCAGTCGTCTTGTAACCAGTGTACCTGGGCCTTTGCTGTTTAGAACAAGTGCTCTGGGTACTTTCGCCTCAGTCCTTTTAACTAGCCACTGCTTGATTTGTGTCACTCGTTTCTATACCAGTACTCCTCTTTGTTTTGTGCAGCATTTGTTTGTAAGTATCTCAGATGCACCATGCCTTGTTTTCAGTTGAATAAGAGCTGGTTCTGGACCATAGGGGTCTGTGGCATAGTGCAGACAGCAGATAAGTGGTCACAACATAATGAAGCAGGTGCTCTGATCAAGAGAAGCACAGAGAAAGTTTTCTGGAGAAGGTGAAGTCTGAAATGTAATTTAGATTGAGCTGGTCCCAGAGGAGTACGGGTGTGGTAGAGGATGGGTGAGGGGGAGTAGGGAAGGATGGGCTTTCTAGGCAGACAGCAGGTAGAGAAGGGATGGGGGCCTAAAGCTGCCTGAATATTTGGGGAACAACAAATGGATAATTAGTATGGTTGCAGCAGAGAATGGTGTTGAGGAAGTGGAGGAGGACTTGGTAAGAGGCACACCCAGGTATAAGCTAGATAACGAAAGGTCCCATGTGCATTGCTCAAGAGTTTAAGCTTGCTCCTGAAGACCCTGGGGACCTAGAAAAGGGCTTGAAGCTTGGAAGTGATGTAGACACAATAAGATGTGTTGGAATCGCTGCTTTGTCAGCAGTCTGGAGCGTGATTTGACGGAGAGCCTGAAGAAAAGCAGGGAGACCAGCTGTCCCCATGAGAAACCATGAGGCCTGAGCAGACAGTGGCAAGGAGGTGGCAGAGACGGGGTCAGAACTTGAAAAGCATTAAGAAGGCGATGGCTCCTGCAGGGCTTCTTGAATGACTGGGAGGGTAGGAGGAAAGGGGTTTGGAAATTGTTGAAACCATAAACCAGTGCAAGTTAAGAGAGGGGCAAGTTGTACATACCTGGAGTTACAGTGACTCCTCATGTTACTGTAAACAGCTAAAGCAGAGCAGAAAATGATGCACTGGATGCTTAGCGTGGCTGGCAAGGGGGCTCATGGGCTCTCTGCTCCTAGAGACCTTTCGGAATGTGGCAGTCATCTGTGCTGATGCCAAAGTCAAGGTTGCTTCACAGAGTTCCAGCCAAGCAGATCACTGCATCATGTAGCTCACTGGCTCATTCATTTAATTTGTTGATCAAATATTTATTGCATGTCTACTAAATACTCTCATGGAACTGACATTTTGGTGGGAGTGAGTGGAGGAGGGAGGAATTCTTTTTTTCTTTTTTTTCTTTTCTTTCTTTCTTTTTTTTTTTTTTGAGACAGAGTCTCATTCTGTTGCCCAGGCTGGAGTGCAGTGGTGCAATCTCGGCTCACTGCAACCTCCGCCTCCCAGGTTCAAGCGATTTTCCTGCCTCAGCCTCCCGAGTAGCTGGGACTACAGGTGCACGCCACCATGCCTGGTTAATTTGTTGTCTTCTTAGTAGACGGTGTTTCACCATGTTGGCCAGGATGGTCTCGATCTCCTGACCTCATGATCTGCCCACCTCAGCCTCCCAAAGTGCTGAGATTACAGGTGTGAGCCACCACGTCCAGCCAGGAGGCAAGAATTCTACATTAAAGTAAATAAAGAAAATAGTTTTTAGATAGAGGTGAGTGCTGTTAAAGAATTAAAGTGAGGGAGAGGGCCTAGATGAGTGGGTGAATGGACTGTAGAGAATGACTTCAGATATAGTCGCCGGGGAAGCCCTGTGAGGAGGTGACCCGGAAACTGAGTTCTGCATGACCCAGGGAAGAGCAATCCAGAGAAGGGCCAAGTCAGGAGCTAGGTTGGTGATCAGCTGTAAGCCGTATCTCTCAGCTGGATTCCTGCAGCAGCCCCTTAACAGGCCTCCCTGCATTTCCTCTTATTCTGGACACTGTACCTGGAACCTTCCAAAAACGTGTTCGAGATCCTCCCTCCAAACCCAGGGACTTTCCTCTCACAATTAGAAAAAGCCAAAGTGCTTACAAGGGCAGCAAGGCCCCCGCCATGGAACGCCCGCTTTCCTCTGGTTACGTCTTCCACTCATTTCCTGCTTGCTCCCTCTGCTGCAGCCACACTGGCCTCCTTCCTGCTACCCGAACTTGTCAAACACACCTTCACCTCCCAGCCAAGTACTGCGCGGCTTGTGCCTGACTTCAGGTCTCGGCTTGTGTGCAGAGCGCTCCCAAGACCATGCACACATTTCTTCGAAGATTCGCTAGGACTCTGCATGTAGCTGTATTAGAGTTACAATCTATAACGATGAAAAAGTACTAAGCAAAATTAGCAAAGGGGAAAGGCGAGGTGAAGTCTGGAGGAAACCAGGCACAAGCTTCTTAGAATCCTCTCCTGTGGGAGTCTCACAGGACATACTTCTTGCCCCCATCTGTGGGTTGTGACAACATGTGTGAAATGTTGTCTACCAGGGAAGCTCATTAGAGACTCAATGCCCAGAGGTTTTATTGGTGGCTGGTCATGTCGGCAGCTTCTGTCTGGCAAGTACCAAGATTTCAGACTCCCAGAAGAAAAGCAGGTAATCACCATAAACCATACTGTTTGCACAAACAGTTCAGGCATCGTGAGCTATTCACATCAGGGAATGGAGGGAACCTTCCCAAAATCTAAGTTCCTAGGTGCCAACAAAGGGCCAATCTTACAATTGGGTCTTTCTTTCTAAGGCTGTAGTCTCAGGCTTTTTTCTTTTTTTTTTTTTTTTTGGAGACGGAGCCTAGCTCTGTCGCCCAGGCTGGAGTGCAGTGGCACAATCTTGGCTCACTGCAACCTCCGCCTCCCAGGTTCAAGCAATTCTCTGCCTCAGCTTCCAGAGTAGCTGGGACCGTAGGCACATGCTGCCATGCCTGGCTAATTTTTTGTATTTTAGTAGAGGTGGGGTTTCACTGTGTTGCCCAGGCTGGTCTCGAACTCCTGAGCTCAGGCAATCTGCTTCGGCCTCCCCAAGTGCTAGAATTACAGGCATGAGCCACCACACCCGGCCTAGTCTCAGCTTTTCTATGTGAAGTCTTTTCTGCATAGCTTGAGTACTGCTGCTCAGGGAGACCTTCTCACCATCCGATTTAAAATACTAGCTGCAGCACTCCTGCCCTCCCCATCATCTAATTTTTCTCCATATACTCGTCGCTGTCTAAGATACCATATAATCCACACATGCAATTATTTATTGCCCGTGTCTCCCATTAAAATGTAAGCTTCATTTCATGAGGTGGGGATTTTTACCTGCTTTCTTTACCAATGAACCCCCAGCACCTATGACAGTGTTTGGCATATAGTAGGTTCTCAATAATATGAGACGGATGAATGAAGGAATGCTTAAAAAAACAGGAAAACTTGGCACGTGTGGTTAGAGTGAAGTGTCATGCAGAAAGAGGTAGGAAATGTGATTGAGCAGACAGGGTCAGTGCATACAGGGCCCTTACAGGCTTTGGGAAAGGGTTTAGACAAGCATATTTCTTTTCTTTCTTTCTTTCTTTCTTTCTTTCTTTTTTTTTTTTTTGAGATGGAGTCTTGCTCTGTCACCCAGGCTGGAGTGCAGTGGCACAATCTCAGCTCACTGCAATCTCCGCCTCCTGGGTTCAAGCGATTCTCCTGTCTCAGCCTCCTGAGTAGTTGGGATTACAGACACCTACCACCATGCCCATCTAATTTTTGTATTTAGTAGAGATAGGGTTTTGCCATGTTGGTCAGGATTGTCTGGAACTCCTGACCTCAAGTGATCTGCCCACCTCAGCCTCCCAAAGTGCTGGCATTACAGGTGTGAGCCACTACGCCCAGCCTAGACAAGCATATTTCTTAAGTGTCATGACCACCTTTGAGTTGTCCAAACCCAATTTTCACCAGTGTCTCAACTTCAGCTCACCCCCCACTCTCCTCAAAGACAAGTGTCAGTTCCTCTTCTTGTTCCTTTAGTTAATAGGGGTATTCAAAATCTCTTATTATGTGCACTCCATGCTTTTCTGCCCTAGAATTTATTGCAATTATAATAAGTTAACAATTTGTGTAACTTAGTTAATATCTTAATTCTCCATTAATCTGAAAATTTTTGGCTTGTCAGCACTATATCCTCAATGTCTAGCCCAGAACTTAACAATAGAATGACTGCTATTATTTAGAGTATGGACAACTCCAGGCCAGGCTCAACTTCCTGGACCTGGAACCATTCAGAGCTTTCTCAGGTTCTCCAGTCTTCGTCCTGGGTCAGCATCTCCCCAGCCTCCCCCCAGGCTTGGAGCACACAGTACCAGGCAGCTCTCAGCCTCACGATGCCCTGACTTCTGATGCCTGGCTGTGCATGTTCACTTTGCAGGAGCCCCTGGAAAAGGCCCAGCTGCTGGCACTGGTTGGGGACCAGCTCATCCAAAGCCACCATTACGCAGCAGACACCATCAGGCCCCGGTGTGTGGAGCTCAGGCACCTCTGTGACGATTTCATCAATGGAAACAAGAAAAAATGGGACATTTTAGGAAAGTCCTTAGAGTTTCATAGACAGCTGGACAAGGTGAGCAAAACACAGCCAAGAACGTGATGTCTGCAAGATTTTCTGTGAAGAAGCTTCCATTATACTCGTCCTCCCTTCCTTGTGTGATTGCTGACAGGCTCAAGCGCTTTATGTGAAAAGATGTTCAAGAGGCATTCAAAGTGTGCACATCCTAGGTTGAAGAGGTACTGAAGGTAAAAAGTGTTCTGGCCATCCCACCACATCCCATTAAATTAACTAAAGGCCATTTCTGTCTGTGTGGAGCCAGACTTTAAGAGTGTGTTTTGGCCTGGCCCTGTGGAAACACTTCTTGATTCGCTTTCAGGTGTACAGAGAACCAAGCACTATATTTGCAGAGTGCTTCCCTCATATAAAGGCAAAGGGTTTTGATTCTTTTTGGAGAAGCTTAAGTAATAATGACTATTTTATATGCCCTAGCATTTATCGAGCACCTACTCTATTTCTACCAGGAACATAATTATGTCATCTATTTATAATCCTCAAGACAACCTCTGAGGAAGGTATTAATGGCCTCATTGTGCAGAGGCAGAAACTGATACTCTGCTGGTTCTCAAAATGTAGCACACAAGAATCACCTAGTGAGCTGTTATATGGCAGATTCCCTTATGCACCAGGGCTGGAGACTCAGCGTCAGTAGGTCTGGAATACTGCCCAGGAACTAGTATTTTACTAAAGCGCCCAAATGATTCTGGTGCAGGTGGTGCAGGAATGACACCGAGAAGCCCTGGGGAAGTGACTGCCCAAGACCACACATGGTGCAAACAGGGGAAGCCAGAATTGAAGTCAGGCCTGCCAGATTCCACACCGAGGCTTCACAGGATAGACAGCAAGGCTGCATGCCAGGGGCCCACAGGGAGTGGGGTGTGCAGACCCTGGTGCCCTTTGGAGGTGACCTCTAGGGTATGTTCCCAGTCAGCAGGAGCAGTGGTTTCTGGAGTCTTCCCTGTCAGCTGGTCCCAGGCAGCATGTGACTGATGGCAATGAGTCAGCATGCTCCATCCCCACAGCTGTTCCTCTTGCATGCCAGGGGCACCCACCCGGTTGCTTACCTCATCCCATTGCCAAAGGGATTTTAATGTCAATGAAATACAGTTGTTCCAGAAGCAAGTGGCTCAGAAGGGGCTGGTGCGCAGCCTTCTCTGTGTGCTGAGCTCGCTGCAGGATCAGCTGCTGTTTTGCCAACTCCATTTTTGCTCCAGAGTGGTGTGTGTGTGTGTGTGTGTGTGTGTGCGCGCACACACACACATGTGGGTATGAGACGGAGAGAGGGAGACAGAGAGAGAGAGAAAGCAAGTAGCCATAGGAACTCTGCAGAAAATCCCAGCCTAATGTTTTTTTACAGATCTAGGCATGATGTGTAAAGAGAAAGTTTTCACAGCATATATCAAAGCATGAGTTCATATTATTGTGGAAATCCAAAAATGTAGGAAGAAAAAGGTTACTCATGTGCATGTACATATCCTACTACCCCCCACCCCTACATAATGGTAATTATTAATTCTTAAATATCTTTATTTTTATTATTCTAAATGTAGCATATATTCACTGTGCTACATTCATTTCCCTAGATTATCTAGGGAAAAAAAATGAGACAAACATTTAAGTTGCCTATCATTTTCCCATTTAGAAAGACAACCGCTTTGGAGTGTTCCATTTTGATCTTTTTTTCTCTGTATAGTTATTTTATATTGCCTTTCAGGTCACATGGTAAATGGAAATGCAGAGGTACTGGCACTGGAAGCTTATTTTCATATAACTCTTCAGGTAGCATAAGGGTCCCCTGTCTTTCTGTTCAGGTGTCTCAGTGGAGTTCAGAAGAGCAAAGAAAATGAGTCTTTTAAAAAATCTGAAAAATTAGAATTCATCACCTATCTGACATCCTCCCACCATCCAAAAACTTTGAGTATTGCTGTGCTGAGTTACAAAGCTTTACATTCTTGCTTCCTTAGGAAAGACAAATGCCAGTAAATGCAAATAGGGATTGCCTGGGAATCCAAAGAGGAAAGTTGTGTTTTTGTTAAAAGGGACACTCCTTTCTCCCAGGAAATGTAAGGGCCGGGTCTAATGTCTCATTAATCACTCTGTGTTCACGTAACCAATTTGGATGCAGGTAAACCATTGATTACATTTCTCTATGGTTAGACCAGCCTAAGAGATATTTAGCTCTAAGGCTGAGTGGTGCAGTGCCGCATGCCTGTAATCCCAGCACTTTGGAAGGCTGAGGCGGGAAGATTGCTTGAGCCCAGGAGTTTGAGACCAGCCTGGGCAACATGGCCAAAACCTGTCTCTTAAAAAAAAAAAAAAAAAAAAAAAGGAAAGAAAAATTACCCTGGTGTGGTGGCGCACATCTGTAGTCCCAGCTACTTGGGAGGCTAAGATGGAAAGATCACCTGAGCCTGGGGTAGACCTCTCCAGGCTGCATTAAGCCATGATTGCACTACTACACTCCAGCCTGGGCAACAGAGTGAAACGCTGTCTCAAATTAAATACATATTTACCTGTCTTCTTCTGGAGATGTAGCAATTCCCGTCAGTGGAAGAGAGAAGAACGTTATATGACTCATTTTGCTGACCAAGTGACCTCCCTGAGAAGTGGACAGGTGTAGATTGGTTTGGGCTTATCCACCTCATAGTATAATTTACAGTGGTTAGACCCCTTAAACTTTATGCCGTCCCATGACAATTTTCCATTGTCTCAGAATCCTTGTAGACAAGCTCAGACCTGCTGAGGATTATGGTGGCTCTGAGTTGTGGTCAGGCAAAGTGCACAAGGCACTGTTTCTTTCCGAAGGTCAGCCAATGGTGTGAGGCAGGAATCTACCTCTTGGCTTCCCAAGCTGTAGACAAGTGCCAGTCTCGAGAGGGGGTAGACATCGCCTTGAATGACATTGCAACATTCCTGGGCACAGCCAAGGAGTACCCATTGCTCAGCCCTAAGGAGTTTTACAATGAGTTTGAGTTGCTGCTCACCCTCGATGCAAAGGTAATGCTTCCGGGTTATTTTGATCCTGTGGTTGGGAAATGGATAGGGGAGGGAGGGACTGTATCTTCTTCCTGATAAAGTGCACGCAGGGTGTACTGAGCAGGCTGTATTGAGTGGACTCACCGATTCCAAAGCCCTCTGGTGGCCTCTTAGACTCCTGGCCTGAACATCCTGGCATACTGACGCTTCATCTGACTCAAATCAGTCATTTCTCTATTAATGCTTATGAGCATTCCTGATGTACCACACACTGTGCTGAATGCTGAGGATACCATGATGATTAGAAATAGGCCGAGGCGGGCGGATCACGAGGTCAGGAGATCGAGACCATCCTGGCTAACATGGTGAAACCCCGTCTCTACTAAAAATAGAAAAAATTAGCCAGGCATGGTGGTGGGTGCCTGTAGTCCCAGCTACTGGGGAGGCTGAGGCAGGAGAATGGCGTGAACCCGGGAGGTGGAGCTTGCATTGAGCCAAGATCGTGCCACTGCACTCCAGCCTGGGCAACAGAGTGAGACTCCGTCTCAAATAAAAAAAAGAAATAAATAGGCATGCTTCTATCCCTCACTGAGCTTACAGTTTCGTGGGAGAGGCTGACATTAACAAAATAATCACACAAAGATGTATTACAAGCTGATATAAGTGCTGTCAAGGAGGGATTCAGGGTCAGGCATGTGACAGAGGAACTTGACCTGGACTGGGGTCAGAGAAGGCTCTCGGGAAGAGTCATTTGAGCTAAAGCCTGGAGAATGAGTAGTTCCAGACAGGAGGAATAGCATGTGCAAAGGCTTCAGGGCTGGAGGGAGCCTGGCACAGTGCAGACCAAAAGGTCAGGGTACTGGAACCTGGAGAACAATGGAAGTGTGTTTTGGGTGAGGTTAGAGATTGGCAGGCAAGGTAGGCTTTGTGGGCCACATGAAAGAGTTTGGATTTAAGCAGGGGATAACTTGATTGGATTTGCATTTGAGAAGCGCATTCTTCCATGAAGCCAGCAGGGTTGTAGATAGCACACCATCCTCTGAGAGCCACATCACCTTGTCTGCACCTCTGGTTTAAGAGCTTCTTTAAGTCAGCTTCCTGGGCACACAGCAGGGAAGAGAAGATGCGGTGGAGGAACAAACAGATTATATCCAGCCTGTCTAACTGTTCATGTAATTCTGGGGAATGCCCTGAAGTCCATCCATGGACTCAGGCCAAAATCTTTGCTTTGTCTAACATGACACAAACCACATTGTATTCTAATTGTTTGTTTGTTTATGTATTTATTTCTGATACGGAGTCTAGCTCTGTCACCCAGGTTTGAGTGCATTGACATGATCTCGGCTCACTGCAACCTCCGCCTCCTGGGTTCAAGCGATTCTCCTGCCTCAGCTTCCCAAGTAGCTGGGATGACAGGTGCCAGCCATCACACCCGGCTAATGTTTGTTTTTTTAGTAGAGATGGGGTTTCACCATGTTGACCAGACTGGTCTCAAACTCCTGTGCCAGGGTGTTCCAGGCACTGGAGATGCCATCATGCAAGGATGTAGTCATTGCCCTCAAGGGTCTCAAGTAGGAGAGGCTGATCCTTAGATGCACAATTCTGGAGCATGGCAGGACCTGCAACGACTTGCATAGTGATGCCCAGAGGGGGTCACCTGAGGGAGGTAGGGATGGGGGGAGTAGGGGAAGGTGGGAGAAAGGGAATGCTTCGTGTCCTCAGGCTGTATACAGAGAGACCTGTTCATCATGATTTGCTTTTGTTACTGCAGGCCAAAGCTCAGAAAGTTTTGCAGAGGCTGGATGATGTCCAGGAAATATTTCACAAGAGGCAAGTGAGTCTGATGAAACTGGCAGCCAAACAGACTCGTCCAGTGCAACCTGTGGCCCCACATCCTGAGTCTTCACCAAAATGGGTGTCATCGAAAACCAGCCAGCCCTCTACCTCGGGTAGGTTATTTGAGGAAAAGAAGCTTTGTGGCTTTTGTGTTTCTCCAGCAACATAAGGACTGAGACTGGTTGTCTACAATGGATAATGGTCACTGTTTTAACAGATACTTTTAAAAACAGACTACAGATATGCCATAGCACAGACATGGAAGACATAAACACTTAGATAACACCAAGTGCCTGGATGTAAGGAGAAACACACAATCTACTGAAGAAGTAAAAAAAAAATGCATCATAAAGGCTGGGCGCGGTGGCTCGCGCCTGTAATCCCAGCTACTCAGGAGGCTGAGGCAGAAGAATTGCTTGAACCCGGGAGACAGTTTGCAGTGAGCCGAGATTGTGCCATTGCACTCCAGCCTGGGTGACAAGAGCAAAACTCCATCTCGACAACAACAGCAACAACAAATGCATCATAATAATAACAACGTAATAATAACAGCATACAATAGACTCCATTCAGGACCTTTAAAAGGCCCACGTTTTATTAGCAATGGTGTAGTAAAATTGGTTCTTTGAGCAGAGATTTAAAAAATAGGTAAGTTCTTATGCCAATCCCATATGGTCCTGATTACTATAGCTTATTAGTTAGCGTTTAAGATCAAGTCATGCAGTGTTCCAACGTTGTTCTTTTTCAAGGTTGTTTTGGCTATTTTAGGTCCTTTTCATTTTTCCATAAGTTTTAGAATCACCTTTCAATTTCTGCTGGGATTATGATAGGGATTACACTGGATATATGAGCCAATTTGGAGAGAACTATTATCTTACCAATATTGACTTTTCCAGTTCCTGAATATGTTATAACTTATGTTTTTTAGGTCATCTTTAATTTCTCTCAACAATGCAGTAGTTTTGAGTGTAAAGGCCTTAGGCATTTCACATTTTTTTAACCCTATAATGAATGGAATTTACCATATTTAAGAATAGGAATAGATTTCTATATAGAGATATAATCCTATCATCTGTGAATAGGGATACTTTTACTTTTTCTGTTTCAATCTTTGTACTTTTTTTTCTGGTCATATTATAATGACTGGGACCTCCACTACAATGTCAAATAGAAATGGTGAGAGCAGACATCCGTGTGTTTTCCCAATATTAGGAAAAAAGTTGAAGTTTCACCTTTAAGTATAATGTAAGCTATAGGTTTTCCACAGATGTCTTTTATCAGATTGAGGGAATTCCCTTCTATTTCTATTTTTTTTGAGAATTTTTATCATGAATGATTATTGAGTTTTTCAAATGCTTATTTGGTCCATGTATTGAGATAATGATATGGTTTTTCTTCTCTATTTGTTAATATGGTAAATTACAATGATTTATTTTCAAATGTGAAAACAACTGTACATTCTCGGAATAAACTGTCCTTGGGCGGGATGTACATGTCATTTGTTTGTGTTGTGTATTGTGGCGCTCTGTCATTAAGCACATATATATTCATGGTTTTTATGTCTTGCAGATATATTAGCCCTTTTATAATGATGAAATGTCTCTCCTTTGCTCCTTATCTCTAGAAATACTCTTAAAGTCTATCTTGTGTGATATTTTCACAGCCATTCCTGTTTTCTTGTGCTTAGTGTTTGCACAACGTATTTTTTTTTTTGTTTTCTATTCTTCTTTGTATTTAAAGTATATTTGTTGTAGGCAGCATATAGTTGGGCCTTGCCTTTTTATACACTGCAACCTCTGCCTTGTAATTGGAGTGATTAGATTTTTATGTTTACATCCATCATCATTATTGATATAGTTGGATTTAGAGCTCCTGTTTTGTTATCCTTTATGTCTCACATACTTTCTATTCCTCTTTTCCTTCTTTCCTGCCTTCTTTTGGGTTAGTAAATATTTTTTAATATTTTGTTTTAATTCCTCTATTGGCTTGTTATCATATCTCTTTGCCCTGTTTTTCACCCAGACTAGGGATTACCATATGCATCTTAACTTGTCATGATCTGTTGAGTTAGTTTCATACCACTCTATGCAAAATATAGGAAATCTACAACATCATACTTCCATATGCTCCCCATCCATCCTCTGTGCTATTCTTATCATAAATATTACATCTATATATGTTAAACCCCCACTATGGTATTACAATCTTTGCTTTCAATAGTCATATATCAAATTAAGACAAATACATATATGTGTGTGTGTGTGTGTATACATACCCCCTTATTCACCATTTCTGGGGTTCTTCATTCCTTATTATAGATTTGAGTTACTATCTTATGTCATTTCTCTTCAGAATAAAGAGCTTCTGTTAGTATTTATTGTTGGGGAGTCTACTGGCAACAAATTCTTTTCTTGTCTTTATTTTTTCCTTTTTGTGGAGAACGGAGTCTTGCTATACTGTCCGGGCAGGTTTCGAACTTCTGGGCTCAAGCTATCCTCCCGCCTCTGCCTCCCTAAGAGCTGGGATTACAGTTGTGAGCCACTGTGCCTGGCCTGTTAGCAATACATTCTTTCAGTTTTTGTTTATCTGAAAATTGTGGTGTGTTTTGGTAATTCTCCATTTAGTACAATTTACAGTGCCTCGTCTTCCACCACGTATCCTACTTTTTAGAAGTAAGCCTGATAACATGTAGTGTATTTATTTCCTGAATTTTATCTGCAAATACACACACACATCCACGTACACACTCTAACACACTTGCATACACATACCACAGACATACCCAAACATACACAGAGACATCCTTCTTAGATGATTGGAAACAGAACTTTGTTTTCTTGACCTTTCATCTTCACTCAAGCTAAACCATGTTCATGTCTATGACTTGGTTTCATTTGTTGTTTCAAGGAACATATGTTTGTTTCAAGTAAATAAAGCAAGAATTAGAGATTTGTTTCTCGGCTTTTCAAATACAAGATTTCATAATAGATAACACTCCTTTCCAGAATAAATAGGTCTTTGTCAAGTCTGAACAGGTTGTCATTGACCTAAGTCAAACAACTAGCTCGTTTTGCAGAACAATCCTGCACTTTTGTTTTTGGCAAGTATCTACTGAGTGTGGACTCTAGCAAGTCACTAAAAGGCTTTTCAAACATTTTTGTGTGATTCCTTAGTAGCTGAGTCTGTGCCAAGATAAGCAATGGTATTTCACAGTGTAAAGAAGATGGGTGGAATGGCTTACGAGCTGGAATTTCAGCTCTGACTCTTGTTAGCTGGATGCGTTGGCTACAACTTTTAACACCTCTGAAGTTCATAAGGAATGTGAAAAAACTTTTTAATGCCATGTGACTATAATAGCTAAAATATGTTATGCATTGTATATGATCCACATTCTTCACAAATGAACTCATTAAAGCCTCATCACAGCCTTTACTATAGGATTTCTCATTTTTCCCTACTTTACAGATGAAAAAGGTAAGGCACAGAGGTGACTGTAATCATGTGTGCCTCGTGCATGAAAGAGCAAGGCTTGAACACCAGCAGTGTGGCTTCTGTGGCCCTACCTTTCACTGCTTCACTCTACTTACAGTGTCAAGGACAGGCGCTTCTCAGTCATGGTGTCACCAATTATAGTGCATCCATTTCTAGCATCTAGTTATTGTGCCTGGAATCACTCACTTTATAGAGAGCCCACAGAGAGGGAGGAGCCCAAAGGATTGTCTGTTATTACAAAGCAGCATTAATGGTCATATATATAACCTGGGGCAGCAGTGTACTTTCCTACCATTTTCAACATAACATCTATGAAAAACCCATAGAAAGCCCAAGCTGCTTCCAGTTGGCTCACAGAATGAAAGGGTTGGGAGGAGCCTCTGGAGGTCAGATGTCAACCTCCCTCAAGTCTATCATAGCTAAGAATCAGGGTGATATATTGGTGGCGTTTGATGAATGGCATTTTGGTCTTGGGACCTGTAAATGCTAAAATCGGCCGGGCGCGGTGGCTCACGCCTGTAATCCCAGCACTTTAGGAGGCTGAGGCAGTTAGATCATGAGGTCAAGAGATCAAGACCATCCTGGCCAACATGGTAAAACTCCATCTTTACTAAGAATACAAAAATTAGTTGGGCATGGTGGTGCGTGCCTGTAGTCCCAGCTACTTGGAAGGTTGAGGCAGAAGAATCACTTGAACCTGGGAGGTGGAGGTTGCAGTGAGCTGAGATCACACCACTGCACTCCAGCCTGGCAACAGAGCGAGACTTCATCTCAAAAAAAAAAAAAAAGAAAAGAAAAGAAAAGAAAAGAAAAAAAGAAATGCTCAAATCCTGCCTGGGATTAATCACATCTCCTGTGAGTTTCCCAAGGGACCAGCATATACAAGGGTGGCGACTGTGACAAATAAGAATTCAAAGTACCTCTTACCTATTAGCCTTGTGGCCATCACCCACAATGCTTGGTAAAGCTGGTAAGGTGGGTTAGGAAGCCTTGAGGCCTAACCAGGGCTTCTCCTCTCCAAGTCCCAATTTTACTACCAAATGGCCATGGAGCTTAAAGAAAGGATATTTCCCAGATGTCTAGGACCTTGTGGGAAGGGGAGAAGGGAGATAGAGTGACCGAGAGAAAAGAGCAAGAGCAAGACAGCCCAATTTCTTCCTGACTCAGCCAACTGATTCTCACAGTCCTCCCATTCACTGATAAATGTGGGTCCATCAGTTCTGGAATGCAACAATTATACCATCAGATTACCTGCAACAACTGCTGGCTATCGCAAGCATGGCCATCCCCTTACAGTACAATCATAGTATGATTGTGTGTGTACATGTATGTGGGTAAAAAGAGGGAGAGCATTTGAAAGAAGACTATAAGGAAATATACTAAGTGACTATGCTTCAATGTTAAGATTTTAGTGTTTTTCAGATTTTCTATAATAAGCAAAAATTAATTACCTTTATAATGGAAAATATATTCAATACAATGCAGTACCTAGAATTTAGTCTTCGAATCAAAGACCAACATCAAGTGCAACATTATGCTGTACACATGATGCATGCCAAAGCAGCAGTGCATAAAGGAATCCATAAAGTTTGTAATAAGGAAGACTTCATGAGGAAAGTGTCCTGTTTGTTTGTTTGTTTGAGATGGAGCCTAGCTCTGTCGCCCAGGTTGGAGTGCAGTGGCATGATTTCAGTTCACCACAACCTCTGCCTCCCAGGTTCAAGTGATTCTCCTGCCTCAGCCTCCCAAGTAGCTGGGATTACAGGCACATGCCACTGTGCCCAGATAATTTTTGTATTTTTAGTAGAGACGGGATTTCACCATGTTGGCCAGGCTGGTCTCGAACTCCTGACCTCAGGTGATCTGCCCACCTCGGCCTCCCAAAGTGCTGGGATTACAGGTGTGAGCCACCAAACCCAGCCGAAAGTGACCTTTTAGCTGAGTCTTAAAAATGGGAATGACAGAAAATCTACTGTTCTTTACCACATTACTATATTTATAGATTTATTGTAGTTTGAAGTTTCGTATGGTGCTGGGTGTGACTTTTTTCTCTTCTGCTGAAATGTCAAGTCCCTGGAGTCAAGGATTCTATTTCTTTTCTGTGTCTCTCCTTCACCTCCAATTTCATCCACCACCTGGGAAATCAATGCAGCAGCTCAACTGAGCTTTTTTAGTTAACCACATTGACATGGTCCAGCTATTTGTCCAAGTCAGACAAAGTGCTCTGAGTTATAATTTATAAGTCAAATAACCAAATTAATGGCAGGTTTTCTTAGTCCCTCTAGCTCCTCCTCTGAGAACATCTGAGGAACCTTATACAGAGACAGAGTTGAACTCCCGGAGAAAGGAAGACGATGAGACTAAATTTGAAGTCAAGGTAAAATTACCTTTATTTTACTTATGGAACTTTCTGACAAGAGAGAAGATTGCTGTCATAATTATCAATAAATCAACAAATCATGTTTCCTTAATCTGTACCTATTGTCACCTCCAGAAGATAAGCCCATCAAGGCACATAGCACAGACTAATGCTTTCAAGAGCTGGGATTTATAGGATTTTTTTTCTTTTCATCCTTTTCTTTCTTCTTAATGGCAGCTAGAAATGAAATTTGGTTGTGTATGTAATTATCGGTAGGTACTGTTGTAGTAAAAGAAAAATCATTTTATTTATTTCTGTAATCTGACTTCATATTTAAAATTGGTAGAACAGTATATGGTTCATGTATAAAAAGAGCATGACAGGCTGAGCGCGATGGTTCACACCTGTAATCCCAGCACTTTGGGAGGCCAAGGCGGGCGGATCACGAAGTCAGGAGTTTGAGACCATCCGGCAAACATGGTGAAACCCCATCTCTACTAAAAATACAAAAATTAGATGAGTGTGGTGGCGGACGCCTGTAGTCCCAGCTACTTGGGAGGCTGAGGCAGGAGAATCACTTGAAACTGGAAGGTGACAGTTACAGTGAGCCAAGATTGTGCTGCTGCACTCCAGCCTGGGCAACAGGGCGAAATCACGTCTCAAAAAAAAAAAAAAAAAAAGAGCATGACAAAATTGCATAGAGCTGCACACACACATGCACACACACAAGTGCGTGAATAACTGGTGAACCCTTAATAGGCTCTGTGGATTGTGCCAGTGTCAGTTTCTTAGATGTTAACATTGGAGGAGGTTTGGAGAAAGGGGACATGAGACTTTCCATTTCTTTGCAACCTCATGTGACTTAATATAATTATTTCAAAATAGAGGTTTAAAAAAAGCATAAGGTTTGGAATCAGGCAGATCTGGGTTTAAGCCACATAACCTCTTGAAACCTCAGTTTCTTGCTTGTACAAATGGGTATAACAATAGCTACGTCCTGAAAATATTTTGAGCATGAAATGAAAATTTGAAAATTGCTAAGCACTGTATAATTTTAAAGTAACATACATTGAGAAACTGAAGTATAATTAATTGTGAATTGCGAACATACGTTGCTGCATAGCAACCCCTGGAGGGGTTCCCTTCCCCTGCCTCCCTGAAAATTAAATATTTGACTGGCTGAATGGTTCTGAAACCATGAGGCCAGGGGCTCAAATGAGCTTCAGCAACATTTATGATCCATCATCAATCCCCAAAGCGTCTGAATATGAACCCCACGGGAACTCCACTGACCTTTAAAGAGTCTGGAAGAAAGTGAGTTTTAGGCTTTTCTTCTTGGAGGCAGAAACAGAGCGGGAACGAGGGTTCTCAGCAGACTTTTCTTAGAGAGAAAGCTGCGTCCATCTGCGAATTTGTGTAGTCATCCTGTATTCAGGGCAGATTAGGACCTAGCCACTGCTGTCCATAAATCCCTTCTGGTTGGAGGAATTGCATCACCATGTTTTCTCAAGTTAGGAAACTGTATGAAATTTCATACTGTCTTGATCAGCCACCTAAAAAAGTAAATAGCAATTTTTAAAAATAGATTCACCTGATTTAACACCCAGGAGGTCTGTGGAATCATTAAGTAATATTAAAAGGGTTTCATTGTGGTCCTCTTCAAAAGTGAACATCAGCCTATCCATTTCTGCACCCTGGACTTCTGGGAGAGTGTCATCTCTGAAGGTGAGGACTGTGTCACATGATCAGAGCTCAGATTTGGCCCCTGAGCTCATATTCTGTTGCCACTGACTCACAACATGACATGAACTCACTTCCTATCTCTATGACCTACTTTGCCCATCTTCAGACAACATATTTATGACCTGCACACTATAAAGATGCTACAGGAGTTTTAAGCATATGGAAGTTCTCATATAAAGGAATCCAAATTAGAGTGATTTATTTCAATTATTGTGAACAGTAAACAAGTTCTATGGTTTTTTGTTGTTGTTGTAAAAGAAAAACATAAGACAGTGTAGGAGCAGCAGTGGGGATAGAATCGGAGGCCTGTTGGTGTGGAAAGTGTTGAGTAGAATCCAAGAAGCCCTGGTCACCCAACTTTTGGTTTCTTCCTTCTTTTGCCATGTTGTTTATTTAATTCAGACTCCAAACCCATCCTGTTAAGATGCCATCTCCCTCTGTATTTAGGCAACTCACCAAACAGTATGGGTACTGTTAAACAAGCACAAGTCCATGTTAAAATCATCCTTCTGTGCTTTAGTTGTTTTCTTCCTTATTGTTGATTTGTTTGCATATTTAATGAAAAGCTTTTCCCACAACAGCATATGTTAACAGTCAAGGTGGTGGAGGAAGCAGAGTAGGAACCGAGGCTGGTCAGATTTCTGCTTAGAAAGACCAAGGCTATGGAAGGAAATGTAAGCAGAATCCATAAAGTCATGAACAACATGAGCAGGGAGAAAGTGGATTTGTGCACTAAATCCCCAAATCCTAGACTTAGGAATGAATTTAGGACCAATAAATGCAGTTAGTGTTTCACACATTGTGTATTATAACCAGAGAAATTGTTATTCCAAAATACATAAGAAAACTAGTAAGAAAAAGATAGGGTCAAAAAAAAAGGTTTAGATTCATGTCTGTGTGGATCATGGATTATTAAAAGGGGGACAAATCAGTTGACTACATCAACAATAATCATTGCAGCTTGTGTTTAGTGGCCGCTGTCCAAGAGAGATGACCAGGATGCATAGAGCATGCAGCTAACTCTGGGTGGCAATTCTGACATCCTTTTGGCCTTAGGTCTAGAACTCAAAGATGAAATGAAACACAGCCAGTCTAGCAGAGTGAATCATAACATTGTGATAAATGCCACCCCTTTGCCCTTGAGAGTAAGTACGCAGAGAAAAAAAAGTAGCTGTGAACCAAAACCATGTATAATACAGTCACTGATACTCACCACCTACAACTGAAATCATGACATGGTTTGATCACGATCAGAGAAATCATTTCCTTTTCTGGAGGGGTGATCCTTGACGTGCTGGTTCTGGGGAACTTGAGAAGCTAAACTTGACAGGGCAGCTGAGACTCTTCCGGGGCCATCTGGCAAGAGTGATGCCCTGTGCTCAGCTCACTGACGTCATCTGGGAAAGCCCTGTGGTGGAAGCGATTCGCTGTGCTTTTTGGCAATAGTGATGTAACTATTTCCTGTTCTTCACTGGCTGGAAGCTGAAAGCATGACTCACGGAAACTACTTTTCCCAGGCTGCCAACATCACAGCCTTTTTGTAAGCTGGAAATAAGTCAGAGGCTAACAATTTCTTTTTCCTAAATGTGGACCTACAGAATTAAGAAAGAGCTAACAGTGTTCCTTGGTGCCTGTTAAAGTTATTTAAAGGAGCAGAAGCCTATTCTGTGCTCCCAGAGGTTGGAAAAAAAAAGTAAAGTAACAGAAGCCTTTTCAGGATTCTGAGCAAAGAGCCTCCTAAATTAAAAGTAAATAAATAAAAGTTTTTGAATGCAGGAGCTGGAAGGGAATGGAGAGGTGAGTGGAGGGTTGCTATCATTGGCTGAAGGCCAGACATTGTACTGGGTGCTGTGTGTACCTGAGTCCATCTCTAGTCCTCAGAACCTTGTGAGGATGATGTTTTCCGTTTTATCAGCAGTGCCATGAGACTCAGAGGCTGAGTTTCCCCAAGGGTCATGCAACTAGTAAATGTTGTAGGTGGGATTTGAAACTAGCTGTTTACTAATCTGGCAGCTTACTTAACTACCTAACTTATCTATCTGATTATTTATTAATACTTAATGTACCCAACCAGCAGCTTATTTAATCTCTTGTGCCCTAAATGTCCTTTTCTGCCAAATGGTGATAAATCATAGCAATTTCACAGGTGGCTGAAATGAGAAATGTGTGGAAAGCAACTTGCACTGTACCTGATACCTAGCAGGTTCTTGGTGAATTTTAGTTCCTCATTTAATCCTGTGTTTAAAAGACAGAATGGTCAGTGTGAAAGATGAAAAGAAGGTGAAAGAAGGTCAGATTTGGGGCTTATACAGAATGATCCTATTGTTGAATATGTACCTTACTGCCAAATGATAACAGATCAAGGACTAAATTCAGTTCCTTGTCTTCTTATTACTTTGACTCCCAGAAGTTTTTATTAATATTTCTGATTCTCAACAAGAAAACTGTAGAACTATAAACACATTTCAGTGCTTGCCTTCTATGATATTTGAAGTCTAGTCAGTGTCAGAGCTAACAGGAGATTCAGGGACTCCACCAAATCCTGGGGTAGCCCCCAGCCAAGTTCTCTGAAGTTTCCAGAACAAGGATTCTCATGGTTTCCTGTGTACCACAGCTCTGAGAAGCTTGTGAATTATGTAGATTCCCAGGGCCCCACTCTCTGAGATTCTAATTAGGGAA